ATATTCTTATCTCATTTGCTGTGATTGTGTTGTGCAAAAGTAGAATGCAATATGGAGATTGTTCACCCAAAGTGATGGAGTTTTGTTTCCTTGCCCTGTCAGGACCAAGTGTGTCAGGATTGTTGGGTGACACTCGTGTGATTCTGGGCAGTTGTGTGCAGGTTTGAGTGCTTGGCAGATTCAGTTTTAGATGTATAGAATAATATAATAAAGTAATTAATGAGCCTTCTGATAAGATGGAGTCAGATGCATCATTCTCTCTCTCCTCCTTGGGATTGCCTGCAAACTCAATACAGCAGCTTGCGTTGCTCTCCACCTTCCCCAGTGTGTTTAGCCAGAGGTTCTGCCAAAAGTCTTCTCCTTGGTTTGTGTCCTGCCTTTCTGTGGCTTCTCCCCACCATCAGTGCTGGTGGGGAACCACCAGCACCCTCCCAGCACGGCTGCTAGACCAGCTGGATAAAATTAGCTGTTCCTCCGCACGTTCCTCAGGATGCTGGGCCAGGGGACACCCAGTACAGCCAGCCTGACTCATGGAGAAGAATTAATGGAAACGCCCGGCTCCTGCAGGGAGGAAATTCCTCCAACAGCCTTTTCCTCTGTTTGTTGTGCTGGAGGCTGACAATGGGCTCTGCCCCTGGCCCTGCAGGCGCCAGGAGCTCAGGAAGGGCTGCTGACAGTGACAGTGGCAGCGACAGCACCGCCCTGACCTGCCCTCCCACACCTCCCCAACCCAAACTAATCTCTGCCATCCTCCCAGAACCCAGGGCATCCCTCTGGCTGCCTCTGAAAGGCTGTTTCAGCTTGTCAAAGTGTATTTTTACAAGTAAAAAAGTTGAAACTGGACATACCACTGGACCAATCCACACTCAAAAAAGTCTCGTGCTTCTTTCCCTTCTGTATTTAAATTAGAATTCAAAAACTAGTGCTCTTCAGCTGTCTAGTTGTTTGTAATTGGCTATATTATAGTATATATTGTTATATATACTATAACAATAGTATAGCTATAATAAGCTATAATATATAGTATATATATTATATACAATATAATATATATTATATATATACTATATAAGCCATAATACATAGTATATATAGTATATATAGTATATATACTATATGTATACAATATAATATATATATATAATATACTATATATTATACAAGCTATAATATATAGTATATATTGTACTGTGCATGCAGGAGTTCACCGAAAAATTAAGGAATCTCCCAACATATTTGGAGACATCTATTCTCAATTTATTTATTTTAATCAAACTGCAAGAATGAGTAATTAACATTAAAATGGCTTCTTCCATACATTTACTGAATTGAGAATGCTTGAAATGTGAACTGTTTGCTCAGACACCTTGGCACAAAGCCCAAGACCCCTGTGCCTTTGATTTTGACCCATGGAAAAAATTGCCAAGCTTATATGAGGATTTACAAGCCAGGAAAGTTTAAGTAGAATGATAGTGAATTTATCACGGGGTGAAAAATAGGTTTTTGGAATTTTTAGAATGGGGTTTGAGGTCCCAAGATGGAGGAATTTGGGCGTGCCTTGTCCTTTTTCCCTCTTCTTCTTGGCCTCCATCTTCTGGGTGATGTTGGCATTTTTAAATTGGTTTAGAGGAGAGGCTCACTGTCTAACATAGGTGATAGGTATTGGGAAGTAATTGTAAATATTGTACACGTAGTTTTTAGTATAAAAAGATAATTCCACCCTGAGGGCATCAGTGTGCCTCTGTCTGACCAGCTGAATGGACCTCAGCAGGCCAGAGAAAGAATTTCATAAATAAGAAATAATAAACAACCTTGAGAATGAGAATAAAATAGTTCTGACTCCTTCTTCAACTGCTGGGCTGGGAAAAGAGATTTTCTAACACATCTCGGGGTCACTGTGAGCAGCAGAAATTCTGAGACTCCCACACCTCTCAAACCCCAATTAATCTCTGGTATCCCCATGTGCAATATAGTTTCAACCAAAACATTAGGCTGTGATTCTAAAAATGAAGTTAAACCTTTCTTACCTGCCCAGGGGAGGTTAAACCAGTGAGAACTGCTAATTCTTGCAGTGTAGGCAAGGGCCCTGGGATGGTTGGACATTTGTACCTCAAACTCTTTTTGGCTCATGTTCCATGAAAATTCATTGCAGGTTTTGTTGAGCCTTTTGAGTAAGGCACATTCCTGGAGCACAAACCTGCCAAAGCAGCAGACAGGCTACAACAAAGGAAAAGTGCCTTTTTTCACTGTAAATATCCAATAAACACATAACTTCTTAGTAAGTGGCCTTTATTTATCAGGGATACCACTCAGGCTAATGATCTCAGAGTAATGAGACAAGAGGGACTATAAAATCCCCAAGTCAGTCGATGTTATGAATCATGTTATGCAAATCTTGTGAACAGGACTGTCTGGGCAATCCCAGGACGTGCCAGCAGCAACCACTTCAGAGGGTGTGGATTTCACTGTGCCACAAGCTTGGCTTCTGCCAGATTTGCTTCTTTCTTTCAAGGAAAGGCTGGTGGCAAATGCTGCCCAGGGCATTGGTAACAAAGGGGAGCTGGGTTTGGTTTTGGGGACACAAAGGGTGACAAGGCTTTGCCAAATCCAGCATTGGGTTGGGTTTGGTTTGGTTTTGGGGACCCAGAGAGTGACAAGGCTCTGCCAAATCCAGCATTGGCCCTGGCTGGGTTGGGTTTTGAGGGCCCAGAGAGTGACAAAGCTCTGCCAAATCCAGCACTGAGTTTGGTTTTGGGGCCCAGAGAGTGACAAGGCTCTGCCAAATCCAGCATTGGCCCTGGCTGGGTTTGGATTTAGGGCCCAGAGAGTGACAAGGCTCTGCCAAATCCAGCATTGGCTGGGTTTGGTTCTGGGGGCCTAGAGAGTCTCAAGGTTCTCCCAAATCCAAAATTAGCCCTGGCTGGGTTTGGTTTTGGGAGTACAGAGAGTGACAAAGCTCTGCCAAATCCAGCATTGGCTGAGTTTGGTTTTGGGGACCCAGAGAGTGACAAGGTCCTGCTAAATCCAGCACTGGCCCTGGCTGGGTTTGGTTTTGGGGCCCAGAGAGTGACAAAGCTCTGCCAAATCCAACATTGGCTGGGTTTGGTTTTGGGGACCCAGAGAGTGACAAGGCTGTGATAAATCCAGTGCTGGGTTTGGTTTTGGGGGCCTAGAGAGTGACAAGGCTCTGACAAATCCAATATTGGCCCTGGGTATGGATTTAGAGGCCCAGGGAATGACAAGGGCCTGCAAATCCAGCACTGGTCTTCCTGGGAGGAAAAATCACCATGCATCCCACTCCACTTATAAATAATTATAATTGCCCATTCTATTAGGTGACTTAAAAGATTATTTCCAGTCTCCCTGACTTATTGGCAATTTGGAGTTGTTACTGTAGGCAAAAAAACCCAAAAACCCTGTAGCTGGGCTATTGCTCTTGCAAGCTGCTTTATCTTTGTTGCTCTAAGCAGAGTCATGGGAATGTTTTTATCTAAACCATCAGGTTATTAGAGGACAGACTTATAAATAACCAGTCTTTGCTATTTTTAAGTACTTTCAGCATCGTCTATCATGATAGTACAGCACAACCTGCAGAAAAACAGCCCAGTTCTGCTGCCAAAGCTTTGTAACTTATTGCTGTTTCTTTGGGGGATGAGGAGCCAAGCCCAGGTTTTCTCTGCTCTGCAGAAATGCCAAAGGCTGATGAGCCATGCTCCTGAACCATCATTTTCTACACCTTTCCTCAACACAGAAGGTGTTATTCTGCTTTATTACAGAGGGGAAAGTGACGCTGGAGTTGATTAGAAATAAATTTGGTGAGGCAAATTACATGGTTGCCATGGCAATTGTGGGCCAAGCTGGTGCTGGCAGGTGGGATGGGAGAGCCAGGGACTGCTCCACATCCTGAGGATGGGCTGCCAAAGCCATACCTGGGGAATCAGGGAGAGCTGCAGGTAGTCTGCTCCTAAACCAGGCCTCTATGAAATAATAAAAACAGTTTAACCCCACCACTCCAGGAGAACTGAGCATTTCAGACAAGGTAATTTAGATTTACTTCATAATTTATTAGTTTTCACATCGCTGTATGCAATAAATTATAGCAAATATAATATTAACATTGTCATAAAATATTGCCATGAAGTAAGTACTCATCTAATAGTGGCTGTCGCCTACACAGAGAAGAACTGTAGTGATTATATTTAGATTTTTAGTGTTAGTGGTAAGTGAACATAATATTAAGGAACTTCACAGTAAATTCAGGGAAATCTGTCATTATTATTGCTTCTGTGCAAACGACTTTTCCTGCACACACAGAGCTTGGCAAGGAAAGGTACAGCTGTGCAGAGTTAATGCATTTCCGGACGGCTGAACTCACTGCACCACACTGCCTTGGGGGCATTTCACAGATTCTGACCCTGACCAGAAGCTGGGAAGTCTCCAGAGCCCCCCACCACCACAGCAGCAGGGCTCAGGCTGAAGAGCACAAAGTCTGGGAGCACCAAGTCCATCAGGGTGGTGGGGTTCCTCCCAGCTCAGTCCCACGGCTGCCCAGAGGAACAAATCTGCCCCAGCTGGGAGCTGCTCTCTCTCTCTCTCTCTCTCTGAGAGCCTCTGGCCACCAGGCTGCTGGCCACGGTGATGTGCCATGGGCACTGGTCCTGCTGGTCACACCAGAGATGCTGTGGGCACAGATGCTGCTGGTCACACCACAGCTGCTGGCCACACCAGTGTGCCATGGGCACTGGTCCTGCTGGTCACACCAGAGATGCTGTGGGCACCGATGCTGCTGGTCACACCACAGCTGCTGGCCACACCAGTGTGCCATGGGCACTGATCAGGCTGCTGGACACACTGATGTGCTGTAGGCATCGATGCTGCTGGCCACATCAATGTGCCATGGGCACTGATGCTGCTGTGGGCATTGATCAGGTTGCTGGACCCACCAGTGTGCCATGGGCACTGGTCCTGCTGACCACACCAGTCCTGCTGGTCACACCAGTGCTGCTGTGGGCACTGATGCTGCTGTCCACACCAATGTGCCATGGGCACTGGTCCTGCTGGTCACACCAGTGCTGCCATGGGCACTGATGCTGCTGCCCGCAGTGATGCCGCTGTTGGCTCATGGTTTGCAGTGGAGCTGAAGCCCCTGCGTGGACTGTCAGCTCCCCAGGCCCACGGGGCAGCCGAGCATGCCGAGCGTGCTAGGAGCCCTCAAACAGTCCCGTCACAAAGTTCTCCATTCCTGCTCCCTCCGCCAGCCAGCTCAGTGAACTTTGATGGAGTATTTCCGAAACGTCAGGAACTGCAGCAGCTTGTCTTTCCTCCTCTGCTTAAGCGCCATCAGCGCTCTGGTTTTTTCCTCCATGTCCTGGTCGGTGGCGAGGATTATCTTGGCTCTCTCCTCCGCCTTCTTGTCGCCGGAGTTTCTGAAGAGTTTCTGCAGGGACGCCTCGTTGATGCTCTCGAAGATGTTGGCCGCGGCTTTCTTGCGCAGCGCGGTGTCGAAGCGGTACCCATGGAGCGAGGGGCTCACCCGCAGGGATGTGGACATGGCTGCAGTGCTGGAGCTCGTCTTTGCTCTCATGGAAGCTCTGCCGGCTCTGTCCTGCTGCTCTGCTGCCTCCAGGAGTGGTATTTAAAGGCAGGCTGGAGGAAAAGCCGGAGGGCTCCGGTTACAGCGCTGAGATCACGATGATGTCAACAGCCAACAGTCGCAGGCAAAGTTTAACATTTAAGTTGCCAGCTTTGCTGTCGGACGAGATGAAAAGTCCTCTCTGCTGCTGGAAATCTTCTTCTTCTTCTTCTGGAAATGTTGGGGGTTTTTGACCCACCACAGAATAGACTTCTGGAAATGTTTTCCTTCTTCTGGAAGTGTTGGGAGTTCTTGACCCATCGCAGAACAGGCTTCTGGAAATCTTCTGGAAATATTGGGGGTTTTTGTCCATCACAGAACAGGCTTCAGGAAATCTTCTTCTGGAAATTTTGGGAGGTTTTGACCCACTATAGAACAGGCTTCTGGAAATGTTCTTCTTCTTTTGGAAATGTTGGGGTTTTTTGACCCATCACAGAACAGGCTGTGGGACTGAGCCAGCACAGACTAAACTCCAGTGCTGCCCTTGCTGCATGTGAAAAGCACTGTGTGCACAATATATCATATAATAAATGAGTTAAACTCCAGGTGAGAAGTGCTGCAATGCTAGCAAGAGGCTGGAGCCTGTGCAAACAGCAAAGGACTTGGCTCTGTCTCCACTGCCAACGCTGCAAACCTGCTCCTGTCTGGGCATGGGTTCCTTTCTGCTGCTTCCAGCAGAGGTAATTCATCTTTAGCACACACACAGAGCTGCAGTTTCTGACTGACAATGTTGTCCCAGAGGCAGGTGATCCATAAAATCCTCTGAGGTTACTTCCCTGGGTGTTACATCCTCAGCTGCAACATGGCAATGCTCTCAGGGGGAGCAAGAAAATTCAGTTTGCTGCCCTGCTCCTGCCTCCAGTGTCCTTTTGCTTTAATTTCGTGCTCACTAGTGCTGGAAAGAAAACTCACCTCTGCTCCACAAGGCTTTCCATCCCACCCTTGGTCAATGACAAGCCCTTGGGCTGGGAGGACTCTCCCTTAGTCATGCAGGTCAGTTTTGGCTCCTGTAAGGAGCAGGGAGCTGCACTCCATCACCCTTTGGGTCCCTTCTCACTCGAGGGGCACTGTGGGCAGGGCACAGCTGCCAGCAAGGGGCTGCTCTGCCCACCAGGGCTCCTGCTGGCCTCACACACCTGGATTGAGCACAATCCAGCCTGGCCCAGAATAGCTGCAGGTTCTAAAGTCACTTAAGGCCAGGAGCCAGAGATAAGTGTATTTTGGTTAATGTTTTAAAGCAGCCGGATGCTGCAGAGGCTCTGTTTGGTAAACTAGAGGTTTGTTTGCTGTGGCTACTGACCCTGTTACTCATCCTGGCTGAAAGGCTCCAGGAACAGCCTCTGCCCCCATCCCACTCAGACCAGGGGTTTCCCTGTTTTACCAGAGAGCTGTGGAAATTACCTCTGACCACACTGAAAACAGATCCAAGGAAACATCACCCAGCTGCTTTTTATTCCACATTCCCTTTAAAACTTCAGCTCCTTTGGATGGAGGGAAGGGATGTGTCTGAGCCACACACAGGGGATGTGTCTGTGCCTCTCTGGCACTCAGCAGGAGCAGTGAGGAGCTGAGCACACCTGAAGGTTTTGTGTAGATGTTTGTGCTGGCTCAGAATGGAGAAGGGGATTACCTGTGACTTGTTGGTCACCAGGTGAACTGGCATGGGGCATTGAGAAACTGAGGCTCAGAATATCCTGTGATACCTGAGAGATGTAACAGATAGATATGGATGGCATAGATATAGATATATAGATATATAGATATATAGATATATAGATATATAGATATATAGATGTATAGATATATAGATATATAGATGCATAGATATATAGATATATAGACATGTCGATATATAGATATATAGATATATAGATATATAGATGCATAGATATATAGATAAATAGATATATAGACATATAGACATATAGATATATAGATATATATACATATAGATATATAGATATATCGATATATATGCATATGGATATATAGATATAGATGTATAGATGTATAGATATATAGATACATAGACATACAGATATATAGATATATAGATATATAGGTATATAGATATAACAGGGCAGGTTGCTCCTGAGCCCCAGAATGACTGGCAAACCCAGCTCTATCCAGGCTCAGATCAATTCCAGCTGGCCAGAACTTGCCAGGCTTCTTTCCTTAGGACAGGGAGTGGCCTCATTTCAGTGTCTGGCCACTTTCCTACCTGGGACTTGGGACTTGGTGCTGCTGGGCACAGCCTGAAACAGCCCTGAACCCTGCGTGCCCATTTCCTGCCAGGACATGGGTTTCCTCAGTGCTGCCAGGACTTTGCTCTGGCATGAGCTCTCTCTGCACGTGCCATTGCTTCCTGTGGTTCTGTCACTGTGTGAGTTACTTTTTACAAGTTTTTCACAATTCCTTTTGTATTGTGCTGGATGTTCTGTGCTTCAGAGTGTAAACAACAGCTTTGCAAGTCCCTGGGATTCTTCTCCCACCAGCCAGACGTGCACCTTGCCACGAATTGGTGAGGCCAATTCGTCAGCTGCTTGTTCAACATTTGCAGGGCTGATAAATCCACCCTGAAAATAGAACAGTTTTGGTGTGGCTGCCTGGAAAAGATCTCATGGTTTATAGGCTGTGCTAGCATGAAATGTGATGGGGGAGCAGAAGGAAGCAGGGCCACATGTGCTGCCCAACCCTTCCTGCTCAGAAAGGGGGTAAATCTGCCCAAAACACGTGCTTGGATGAAATGCTCAAAGGACAGGACAGATAACACAGTGTCAGGGTACTTGGGGTAAAATTCAGTGCCAGGAGATCAGCCAAGATGTTGTGGGCTGAAGAAAACAAATCCCTTTTTTATCCCCTGGTCAAAAACCAAGAGCTGAGGCAGGTTCACGTGCGCCTTGTTTTCACCACTCCCACTGCACATGGAATCACTCTGCAGGTATTTGCAGAGATGTGGCTGACAGCATAAATTAGCAATATCTGGGGAAGATACAAGCTCAGAAAAGTATCTGCCATGGAAACCGAGACTAAAGCTGATGCTTTAGGAGTAAGACATCAAAAAGCTGCCAAGATCAAGCACGCGTTCCTTGTGAGCTCATCTCACACAGAGCACTAACAAATGTCTTTGCCCCTTCAAGCTTCTCTGCCCACTTTGTATAAATTTAGTTGTGCTTGGCTCTGACAGAGCGATGAAGCATGCCTCGTCTGTTTTTTTCCAGTAATTCTTGTTTATGTGGGTGTTTTAATATTGCTTTCCCAGTAATGCCTAGGAGGAATTATTCATGTGTTGGATTGGAGAGCAACTTCAGAGAAGATGTGATTTCTATCATCGCTCTCCTGCTATTCTTGTGTAATTGCTTTGTGAGATGCAAACGCTCCATTTCACCCGTTAATGGGAGGATTAATTCCCATGCCCACCGTCTGCAGAGAGGCACAGCCACAACTCTACTTGTGCTCTGCTTCTCCTGCCGGTCTGACGGGCTCGGGGTGCTTTGGATGGGGTGGTTTTGCTGCCAGGAAAGCCCCGGGACTGGGCAGGGAGATGGAGGGAGCTGGGGCAGCCACAAACTCCTGCAGAGAGCTGGCTTTGCCTTCTTGTAACCTCCAAAAGCACTCCAAAGAAGGCAATCCGGGATGCCTGGCAGCTCCCTGGGGCATGTTTTGCATACCTTTCCCTCCTCTGGCTGCTGCCAAAGCCTGCACGGTCTGGAGCATCCATTTGGGGTCAGAGGATGCAGCAGCCCCCTTGGAGCATCCGTGCTGCCCTGGCCTTCCCAGGCATGGGGCATTGAGAAACTGAGACTCAGAATATTCTGTGATATGTAACAGATAGATATGGATGATATAGATATAGATATAAATAGATATTATATATATTATATAGATATATAATAGATACTATATCTATTTATATCTATCTATATATCTGTATTATATAGATAGATATAAATATATATAAATAGGTATAGATATAGATATAGATATAGATAGATAGATAGATAGATAGATAGATATAGATGTAGATAAATATTATAGATGTAGATAGATATATATATAACAGATATATATTTATTATTATATAGATATATAATAGATATTATATATATTTATATCTATCTTTATCTATCTATATATCTGTAATATATAGATAGATATAGATAGAAATAGATATAGATATAGATATATAGATATAAATAGATATATATATAGATATAGTTATATATAGATAAAGATGATAGATATAGATAGGTATATAGATCTATAGATATAGATATAGAGATATAGATATAGATATAGATAGATGTAGATAGATATAGAGATAGATAGATAGATAGATAGATAGATAGATACATAGATAGATAGATACATAGATAGATATAGATATAAATATTTGCTTTATCTTCAGGCCATTCATTGAAAACCCAAGAATGGGAAATGTCCAGGAAATCTCCAGCCATCTCTGCTTTTCCCATCCCTTCCCTGGCTTGGATCTCTGGCTCCTGACAGCCTCCACAGCTGCCACCAGCCTGCAGCTGGGGAAGCCCAGCCCTTCTCAGGAGCCAGAAATGCCCCTGGCTGCTGGGAAAGGGCTCTGAGATGGGAAGGTTTCCGAGATGCAGTGCTTGCAGACAGCTGTGGGATGGCTCTAAGGTCAAGGAGGAGCTGCTTCATTGTGTTGCTCTTGGAGTCCAAATTCCTGGGAGGTTGTCAGACACCCAGCTCATGCGAATGGCAGTGCTGCCCTGGCTCCAAGCTGCCCACAGCCTCTCTGCACTGGGACTTGTGTGCCTCTGGGGCTTGTGTGCCACTGCGACCCCACCTGAGATTTCTGTTTGTTTGGCCGTTGCTTGGGTTTTCCTGTGGTTGTTCCATCTTTAATAGAACATCTGGGAACACTTGTGCAAATCTCACGGCAGGACACCGTACCCTTTGCTCAGAAACCCCAAGAGTTTAACTTG